AATTCAAACCAACTTTTAAAATGTTAGCTAATTCCCAGTGTATAACATGTCCATTTGAAAAATTAAAATTTGGAGGCCTCCTTGGTGTCATAGTTAAGTCTCAGTGCTATCACCGCTATGCCCTGAGTTCAATCCCCAGCCAGGGAGCTGACCCACATGGTGCAGCAGACCTCTCCTGTCTTGCCTGCTGCTCTCCTTAGCAGTGTATTTCAGTGGATGCACCTGTTTTTCTCCCCACTCTGTCTCTGGTGGTGAATCACCCCTTGCACCTGTGGTGTACACCCCAATTCTTGTATGCATAAATAAAAAAATCTTTAAAAAATTAAAAATTAAAATCTTCAGAAACAGGTGAATTTAGATAATCCTCTTACATTTTCTCTAATTTTGTTACCTATAAGTAAAAATTAGCATTCTCTGAAGGTAAGGACAAGAGTTGTCTTTCATCTGCAAGCAAGTGGCACCCCAGCCTCCCGTCCTGCAGCTATACTGCTTCTTACACTGTTACCTGTCGCTGTGGCTCCAGTGGCCTGTGGAGTGGTAGCATGAGAAAGATAAGCTCCAGGTCAGAATAGTGGAACCTCTGTGGAGGGGAAGGCATAGCACTGCACAGGGCAGCACAGTTTCAACCATTTCTAATGTTTTTTGGTTTTTCTGTTCCTTTTGCTGATAAAAGTTTTAATGATACATTGTTGTTCACACAGAATGGCAGTGGAAACTAAACCAGGATGCAGGAATTCACAACCATGCATCACAGACCAATTAGCCACCTACAATGAACTGGCTTCTGACTATACATGAGAGGAGTAGCTAATTACTATGTAAAAGTGAAGAATGATGTAGGAAAATATAGAAAGAAAATATAAACTGGCTTCTCATAAGGACCCTGTAAACACAAGAACCTTTCCTCCAAAATAACCCCAGTCTCACAGGAAAATAGTTACTATGGGGTGACCAGACATCTAGCTTTGTGGCCAAAAGGAAAAACAGCAAGTCAGTGGTTCGTTGGTGAAGGCAGGCAATTTGTGCCCTTCATGGTGCTGCTTTGTTTTTCGTCTTTTGTCGCTTTTCTTCAGGCCATCCAAGACCGAACACATGGCTCTCAGGAGGACTGGTTACCCATCTGAACCTTCCTTGGAGCTCACCATAGTGCTGACCTGTCCCCCTCTGACCAGGGTTCATACCCCTCCACAGAACCCTGCCGTGGCCTGGGTTTAAGTTGACCATCATGCGTCTTCCAGGTGATAAGCACATGGCGCTGCAACTGGCACTTCTGGAAAAGCCTGGTGGGCTCGGGGCCTGCTGTCAGCCTTGTCTAATGTTTTATTTCGCAAGCTAGCTGGTAGAAGCAAAGGGTTATTGTTAGATCCTTTCAGTTTAAAAATTTCTGTGAGGTCTAGAATTCTAAAAGCATCACCCAGCAAATATTTATTGAGCACTTTGCGGTAAGCGTTCTACACAGCAGCGAACAGCAGTTTAGGGTCTGGATTCGTTGCTAAATCATTCAACACACATTCTTAGTCTGCTGTGGGTCGGGTGCTATGCAGGCTGCTAATAAGACGGCCTGGTGTGATAGTGTGGGGTGGGGCCTGTTGTTCATTAAGTGAATCTTGCAAGGCAGGAACTGGCTTCAGAAGAGAGGAGAGTGTTAAGGAAAACATCAGAGCCTTTGGGGAGGCTGGTAGAAGAGCTGGTAGTTAAGCTGGATGCCAAAGGACACTTGGGACAGGGGGAGTGGGTGCCTCCCAGGCAAATAGCCTCCCTGCAGAGGGAGCAGCATGGACAAACTAGACAGAGGTGAGAGAGTGTGCAGAGACCGGTGCGTGTTTTAGCTTGGCTGGTGTGCTCAGTGGTAGTGAGAAGTCTGGGAAAGGAGTTTGATCAATTCCTGGAGGGCCCAGAGCGAGGCCAAACTGCTGGCTCTTCTGTAGGAGCCACAGAGAGGAGCGTGGGCACCAGAGTTATTTGCTGTTGGCAAGGGCCAGTCGAGCAGAGGGGTTGCTTTCTAGAACCTGGGGCCTGGGCTGGGGCAGTGGGGGAGCGGCTCAGAGGGAGACAGACCACAGGGATAGAGGCCACAGGATCTGGCAGCTTTAGACTTGGGTTGGGATCACCGTTTCAGCTAAAACTCTTCCAGGGCTGGGTAGTAGTTCCTCATCTGTCTCCTGGGTTGAACATGGAGTGTGATGAGGCAGGAGGAGAAGAGGAAAAGCAACTTACAAAAAGCGAAAGACATGATATCTCTGGAAGAGGACCGTCCTCTGGTTCCAGAAGTCAGTGAGCCTGAAGGGGAGGTGTTGATGGGATGGGTGGCTGGGAGGATGGACAGACGGAAGAAGAGGGGAGAGGGGTAAGGTAAGCGGGGAGAGGCTGCGTTGGGACGGTGCCCTTCTCCACTCAGGCCTTTATCAACAGGCTGGAGATTGAAGCTCCTGGGCTGCCTTTGTGGTGCCTGTAGGGGGATGCCATGGGCACAGACCTGGAATGGGTCCATTCCAGGATGATGGCAAGTCAGGACAGAGACCACCTAGTGCTGGGATGGGACAGTCCTCTGTTGCTGTGGGCTTCCTGCTCTGCCAACATCTACTCTTCTAGTCCAGGAAAAAGGTGCTTTGCACTAATCAGGGATGCTCTCCACACAGGTCACCAACATTGGTCCTCATCGCTCACCAATGTTTTTTATTTTTTTTGAAGATTTATTTATTGGGGCCTCCCCGGTGGTGCAGTGGTTGAGCGCTGGGTTGCGAAGCTGCCCGCAGCCTCTGCAGCACCGGTTCGATCCCCGCCACTGGGTGAGGGTCCCACATGGCGCGCAGACCTCTCCTGCCGCCCGCTGCTCCCCTCAGCAGTGTACTTCGGTCCTTCTGCCTGCTCTGCTCCCTGCTCTGACTCTGGTGAATTCTCTCACCTTCCCGTGCTTCTGACTGTAGCCAGTGCTTGTATAAATAAATAAATAAATCTTTTAAAAATATATTTATATATTTATTTATGCATACAAGAGCTGGGGTACAGGCCAGTGGTGTGGGGGTGAGAGGATTCACCAGAGACAGAGTAGGGAACAGAACAGGAGGATAGACTGCTGAGGGGAGCAGCGGGCGAATCAGGAGAGGTCTGTTGCCATGTGGGTAGCTCCCTGGCTGGGGATCAAACTCATGCTGCAGTGGCTGCGGATAGCTTCATAGGTTATGTCTTAACCCCTTGCGCCACCAGGGAGGCCCTCACCTATGTTTTTTAGTTCAAAGATTGGAGCAAGATTGGTCTTCAAGGGTGCTCTTTTAGGGTCATTTGAGACTAACCCCTTGCCTTGATCTATATCTCTCCAGCTAACCAGTTGCAGGCCCTGAAATCCCAACATTACAGAGGTCCATATATTCCCTGGGACGTCTGGCACATTATTTGAAAACCTAATGAACACACTTATTTGTTAGCAAACTTACAAAGATTCAAGGGGCAGTATTGATTTTTGTGAACTGTGAGTCCTTATATTAACTAGTAGTATTATTTATGTAAATCACGCCTGAGAACTAACCATCTCTAACTCCCTAGTTAGGGGTCTCAAACCCTTCTATCTCCTTAAGCTCTCTGGAGCATTCCAGCAATGCCGTACTGCAGCAATGGCTAAACTTTTCTTTGCCTCAGTTTTCTTTTTTAAAATGGATGTGGGGCCTCCCCGTTTGGCACAGCAGTTGAGCGCTGGGTTGCGAAGCTGCCCGCGGCCTCTGCGGCGCCGGTTCGATCCCCGGCTGCTCCCCGGCCACCGGCCACCGGAGGAGGGTCCCACATGGCGCGCAGACCTCTCCTGCCGCCCGCTGCTCCCCTCAGCAGTGTACTTCGGTCCTTCTGCCTGCTCTGCTCCCCGCTCTGGCTCTGGTGAATTCTCTCACCCTCCCGCGCTTCTGACTACCCAGTGCTTGTATAAATAAATAAATCTTTTTAAAAAAAATAATAAAATAAAATGGATGTGAAGTCTCTTGCCCAAGATCACATGGCCAAGGGCCTCCCTGGTGGCATAAGGGGTTAAGCACGCTATGAAGCAATCCACAGCCTCTGCAGCATGAGTTCGATCCCTGGCCGGCCAGGAAACAACCCACATGGAGAAGCAGACCTCTCCTGTCTCACCCACTGCTCCCCTCAGCAGTGTATTTCAGTCTGTCTGCCTATTCTGATCCCTGTTCTATTTCTGGTGGATCCTCTCAACCCCTGCATCTCTGGCCTGTACCCCAGCTCTTGTATGCATAAATAAATAAACCTTTAAAAAAAAAATCACAGGGCCAAGATGAGGCCACAAAGGTTGGACAATAGATTTTAGAAACAGTAAGGCTGACGTCTTCTCATTTTCTCAAAGCAGCCTGGGGGTGACACTCTCAACCCCGTGGAAGAACAGTATCCAGGTCAGTTTCTTGGCCTTTAAGGAAGTAAGACGAGTTAGGGGCTGGAAAGGGAAGGTAGTCGGCCTGGGTGGTGGGTGTGCAATGGCAGCCAAAGTGCTTGGCTGGAGGGTCACTGAGCAAGTTGCGCTGGGGCTTGGAGGTGTGATCAGTTAGCCAATCAGGTGAAGGGATTTATCACCCTCCACCCCAGGGGACAAACCCAGTACAGGAATCTGAAGAGCATATAGTTAGAACGGAAGCCAGGTTGGGCCAGTCTGTTTTCCTCTTCTCACTGCTCTGTCCCCAAGATCTCACTGCCAGGCCGAAATTTCCTGGAAAAGAAGATTGGCCCAGGTTGGCTCCAAACTCCTACTGACTATGTCATGCTAAGTTCTAGAAGCAGATGAATCTATCAGGTCTCAAACACCTCCAGAAGAGAGGCCCTGGGGCAGGGAGGGTAAGTTTCTAGTCCTGACTGAATCTCTTTTTCCTACATTGTAACAGATTCATTTCTGACCTTGTGCCTGCCTGAGGGTTAGGAAATCAGGTGTCTGTGAGTCACCTTCTGGGCTCTGCTCACCCTGCGCGATTCTGATTCTGCATTCAGCAATATCCTCTAAATGTTTACAGTGGCCTTACCCCTGTGCCCTCCTCTCCCTTCTGTCCGTCTGTCCATCCATCCACCCATACAAATAACAACAGTGAACAAAACCAGACGTGGTCCCTGCCCTCGACAGGGTTTTGAAAGAGTGAGATATTAGCTAAATAATCTCCAAACTAATGCAGATGCCAAGTGTAGAAAGTGCTATAAAGGGGATGTGCCTGGTGCCACAAGAGCCAGCCATGTTTGGGTGGGGGAGTCACTCCAGTGGGGGCAGACCAGGCTCCCCTGGGGAAGGGGCGCTGAGCCGTTCTCTGCAGTAAGGGGCTGTGGGGTGAGGGCATTCCAAGCAGGAGAAACAGCCAGTGTATACAAAGGCTTTGTGGCAGGAGCCAGGTGAGTATGAGGGAGGGAGAGTGGGGTTGAGGAGGAGGGAGGGAGGCAGGTCCAGACCCAGAGGACTCTGTAGACCTTTTCATTCAAGGTTGGGTTTTTTTTTTTTTTTTTTTTTAAGTACAAAGACCTAGCATTGTTTCTGCTGTAAGGCAGCTGTCTTGGATAACCCATTCAAGGAAGTTCACTGAGTCAAACTTCACGAGTCTATGTCCTTCACATACTGACACGAACACTGGCAGCACATATTGAGGCTGTATTTCCTCATCAGGCCTTGGGGGTTTGAGCAGATACAGCAAAGAGAACCCTGGCTGAATTTTCTTGATGGCTCCAACAGAACTGCCAGTGACCCATCCTGCCCCACCACGTACAATGAGGCCCAATGTTGGAGGCCTTTTAAAGGAATTATCTTTTCTCTAGAGCAACACGGGTAAGGGGCTTCTAGCAGGGAAGTGACATCATCAGCTTTACATTTTGAAAATTTCCTGGCTGCTTGCTGTGTGAAGAACAGATGAGGGTGGGTGGAGGGGGAACTGGACTTAGTAAATTTGGAAGGCCAGTGAGGAGGCAATGGCGAGTCCAAAGGAGAGATGACTGTAGTTCAGACTAAGGTGTTGGGGTAGAGAGGGAGAAGAGTGGACAAATGAGAGAAATATCTAGAAAGTCAATCTGTTAAGACTTGGGGTTGGGTAGGATGTGGGGAGTGAGGCAGCGATAAGGTATGGGGAGCCTACTAGGTTTCCTGCATGGACAACAGGAGGCAAGGCAGGGCCTGTGAAGACAGTTTTGCTTTTTAAATCTTTTTGAAAGATTTATTTATGCATACAAGAACTGGGGTACACGCCAGAGGTGCAGGGGGTGAGAGGATTCACCAGAGACAGAACAGGGAGCAGAAGAGGCAGATCCACTGAAACACACTGCTGAGGGGTGTGTGCTGAGCAGTGAGAGAGACAGGAGAAGTCTGCTGTGCCATGTGGGTAGATCCCTGGCTGCCCGGGGATCAAACTCATTCTGCAGAGGCTGCGGACAGCTTACACAGTGCTGTGCTTAACCCCTTGCACCACCAACCTTGTCAAAAGACAGTTTTGAAGAAGTTGAGTTTCTTTAAGATGTGCAAGTAGATAAAAATAACTAACACTTAGCAATTGTGTACATGCTCAAGTATTATACTAAGTGCATTATAAATATCATCCATATAATTCTCACAATTATTCTATGACCGTATCAGCATTTTCATTTTTTCAGAAATTGAGTCAGTCGAGTGGACATACATACTGGTCTGAACTTCAGAGGAAAGCTCTGGTTGGTTTCCGGGAGCTCAGGGAGAAGAGACCAGAAGTGTGGTGAAGTGCAACTGCCCAAGGAGAGGAGTTGCGCCTCCACCCCACCTCTAGAGGGCTCCACTCAGGCCTGCCTCCCACGCTGGGCGGTAAACAGGGTGCCTGTACCCATCTTGGACAAGGTGGATTCTCTGTGCCAAGGACCAACCACAGCAAAATCTCCCATCCTGCTTGTCTCCTTGGAATTCTACTGTTCTCCAATCAAGAGGTCTAACTGCTGTCCCATCAGATCTGCTGCCAGGCCTGTGGCTTGATGGTGAGTAACAGAAGGCAGAGAAGTGACACTTCAGGACTTCCGGCAAGGGCAAGAGGGACACCAGCTTAGCGTGCTGAGCTCCCAGGTCAGAAGGCTGACCCCAAGGCCTCCATGCAGAGGCGACGCGTAGGTTCCCTTGAAAAGTCACAGTTGTGGCTCAGACAACAGCCAGACTTAACTCCCCAGCATGTATGTGGGTGATCGCATTATGTGACTTCGGCTCCAGCCCCTGAGTCATCCCCAGACGCTGACTCTTCCCAGCAGAGACCTCAGATGTTTTGGAGCAGAGACAAGCCATTCCTGTCATGCTCTATCTGCATTCTTGCCCTACAGAATCCTTGAGCAAAACAAAATGATTGTTTTAAGTTAGGGGATAATTTGTTTCACAGCAAAAATAATTGGCACACTTTACCAAGGGGGAGGCTGAGTTTCTACAGCCTTATGGCTACAAGATGGACAGACAGTGCTCCCCTTCCCTTTTCCCTTTTATTGCCCCTCACCGTGTCAGACTTACGTGTGGACGTACGCGTCTGTCGGTCCCATCCCCTGGCTGTGGATCTGGGTGGAGGGGATGCAGGGCTGTCCCGCAGCCTGGTGCTCAGCACACACAATGGGGAGAGACTCGGTAACTGCTTGCTGGCGCGTCCCCCCACCCCCCACCCGCAGCTGGTCTGACATTTATTTCACTAGGAGTGGGAATCTCAGACTTCTTCCAAGGACATGGGGGAGCTGGATGGAAGCTCCTGCTGGCTGTCACACACAGAGACATATGATTGGGCCGAAAGCAATTTTTCTGAAAGCATTCTCGTGAAGACAACATTTTGATTGAAACACTGATTTGATTGAAAACAAATACTCCCCACAGTATTCCTTTTCTCTAGTGCCATTTATTTTCATGCTTCATATGGCAATTTTCAGTCCTCTAAGAATTTTTAAGTACTTTCGTCCTTTTTTAGGACTTTTTAGGCTTTTGCCCTACTTATTTGTTTTAGCCTACTTCTACTGCTTTTCAATATTTGCAGTTGCTGAAAGTTGGAACTATGTAAGGTCTAATTGATAGTGGCCCAGACAACAGCTAAATAAAGGAGCAAAATGCATAGAATGATTCCATTGTTCTAGAAGAACTATGCACATATATGCAAATATCTGGAAGCACAAACCTCGGTGAGTCTCAACCAGAGACATTCGAGAGATTCTCCCAGGTTTTAAAAACCCAATTTCCGGCCTCCCTGGTGGCACAAGGGGTTAAGATGCAACCTATGAAGCAATCCGCAGCTTCTGCAGCACAAGTTCGATCCCCGGCCCGAGAGCAACCCACATGGTGCAGCAGACCTCTCCTGTCTTACCTGCTGCTCCCCTCAGCAGTGTATTTCAGCAGATCTGCCTGTTCTGTTCCCCACTCTGTCTCTGGTGGATCCTCTAACCCCCCACCCTCTGGCCAGGACCCCAGTTCTTGTATGCATAAATAAATAAATCTTTAAAAAATAAATAAAGGGCCTCCCCTGGTGGCGTAGTGGTTGAGCACTGGGCTGCGGGGCTGCCTGCAGCCTCTGCAGCGCCGGTTCGTTTCCCCGGCCACCGGTGAGGGTCCCACAAATAAATAAATAAATAAATAAAAACCCGATTTCTGAGGCCTGTCCTGGGGGGCAGGGATTCATTGGATTAGAGGAAGTGATGGCAGTGGTGGTGTTGGGAGCAGACCTTTGAAATTTTTCCCAGGTAATTCCAATGTGCAGCTGGGACTGCGATCGCTGACTTAACATCAGAGGAGGAACGTCAGAGGGGGATAATTTACTGAGGTACTCATTTTTTGTATGGACAAGATGAGCATTCGAGAAAGAAGAGGCTTGCCCAGGGTCACACAGTGAGGGGAAAGCGAAGTCTAGAGTGCCATCTCCTGGGACCCGGCCCTTCCCCTTCCTGCAGCAGATGTGAGTAGAAGCGGTGGGATTATAGTTGTTTAAATCTTTCTTTTGCATGTCTCTATTTTCTGGCACAAGACAGAAAGCAGACTAAAGGAAAGAATAAATGAAGTATATTAAAGGTATTTCACCTGAAACAAGCCCCTTAAACCCATCAGCATTTCCTCTCCAAAGACAGTGGTCTTTAGGGACGATCTGGCTCCTATTTAGGGTCACAAAGACCACAGCTCTGAGCCATAGTCTCCAGGAAACCCAGATACCCAGGGAAGCGGAAGTAGATGCCAAGTGGGGAGAAGCAGGCTCCATAAAAGAGGGCACAGGACATGGGTCTGTGATGCCAAGATAGCCCACCAGAGGGCAGCAGGAAGCTGCCAAGATGCCTATGAGCCCTTCTGTGAGGACTGTTTTGGGGGGTCAGGACAATCTGGGGGAATGTAGGTGAGGTTTTGAAGAGGGTAGTAAAGCCATGTTAGGGGTGTGTGCGTGCGCATGCATGTGTGTCCTGTATAAAACCAAAGAGGTAGGAATTAAAAAATTGAAATTGCCAGAGGTGAGGATGGAGGACCAGAAGCTGGCAGGGAGGAAACTGGATCTGTTTATGTGTCTTTGGTCAGAACAGTGCCTTGAATAAAAAAAGTATTAAATTAATATTTGTTGCTCAAATGCATGACTGGAGATACTTTTGGGGGGAGGAGGGAAGGAAAAGGATAGCAAATGTTTGAGGGTAAGAGAATTATCACTCATTCAGCACTACTTGTTGGACAATGTGCTGATTTTAAGTTCATTAAATTCATTCTTTTCAAGTTAATTTTTAACTGAAAAAGCAGTACATGCTTAAGGTTAAAAAACACAACAAAACAAGAATAAGTCTCCTCAAGAGGTTGACAATGTTTTCTGCATATCTTTTTAGAAATTGTACACACATTTATTTTCCATGGGGGCTCACCTACTCCCCTGCAGCAAATTTGAATGCTCAACTCTAGACATACCCTGAGAGTGGAGTTTCTCAAAGTGAGGTCTGGGACCACCTTCAATAGAAACACCCATCAATGCAGAATTTCAGGCTTCACAGAAACCTCCCAGAATCAAAGGAAGGGAATTCTGATTTTAACAAAGAGCCCCAGGCAATTCTGATACCCATTCAAATTGGAGAAGCACTGAGCTGACTCATACCTTCACTTCATGGGGAGAGGGTCTAGATAGCTCTGGGTGCACATTATATCATCACATGACCCTGTCCTTGGGTGAAGACCTTTACTTCTTGCCTTAGTCAACGCAGCCATGACCACTTAAGCAATAGAAACTCACAGTCGGAAGACTGAAGTCCAGGCTGGTTTCTGGTGAGACCTCGCTTCCAAGTCTGCAGACAGCCACTTTCTCGTGGGTTCCCGCAAGGTCTTTTCTCTGTGTTTTCTCTCTGTGGAGAGAAAGTACTCTGTTCTCTCTTCCATTCTCATTAGGACACTGGCCTAGTGGATTAGGACCCGACCCTTATCACCTCATTTAACCTTTATTACTTTTTAAAATTAATTTTATTAATTAAAAATTTTCCCCTAACATCATTGTAGTCCCCATCATTTTTAATTACTTCTTTTTTTAAAGATTTATTTATTTATGCATACAAGAACTGGGGTACAGGCCAGAGGTGTGGGGGGGGGGGGTGAGAGGATTCACCAGAGACAGAGCAGGGAGCAGAACAGGAATATCTATTGAAATACACTGCTGAGGGGAGCAGCGGGTAAGGCAGGAGAGGTCTGCTATGCCATGTGGGTCAGCTCCCGGCTGGGAACAGAACTCGTGCTGCAGTTGCTGCGGATTGCTTTACAGTGCTGATGCTTAAAGCCTTGTGCCACCAGGGAAGCCCCCTTTATTATTTCTTTGAAGGCCCTATCTCCAAATGCAGTCACCCTGGGGGTTAGGGCTTCTATATATGAATTGGGGTAGGGGACACAATTCAGTCCATAACATTTCTTATTCCTTTTCTCCTTCTCCCCTCATTTTGGAATCTTTCTACTCTATGCATGTCTCTCCCATTTATTCAAGTTATGTTTTATAAGCCTCAATAATATTTAGGATTTTCTTCATATTACTCTTTCACATTTTTCCTTACTTTACTGAATAATATGAAATTTTTGTTTTTTAATCTTTTTCACACCCAATTTTTTATTTGGAAAATTTTCAAACCTATATAGAAAAATTGTAAGATAAGCAATGAGTATCCATATTCCTAGATTCACTGATTGTTAATTTTTTGCCACATTTGCTTTATCTTTCTATGTGTCTTATATTTTTTCCTGAAAAATTTGAGACCTGATTATAGAAATTTACACTTTAAATATTTCAGCATGCTTCTCCTAAGAACAAGGGCATTCTCCATATATAACTACAATTATCATGCTCAGAAAATTTAACATTTAAAAATTAACATTAACTGGGCCTCCAAGGTGGCGCAGTGGGTTGAGCACAGCATTGTGAGGCTGTCCGTAGCCTCTGTAGTGCCGGTTCGATTCCTGGCCAGCCAGGGAGATTCCCACGTGGCGCGGCAGACCTCTCCTGCCTCACCCTCTCACCCTCCCACGCCTCTGGCCTGTACCCAGTTCTTGTATAAATAAATAGATCTTTAAAAAAATTAACATTCACTAATACATAGTATACTCAATATTTAATTTTCTCAACTGTTGTAATGATGCCTTTTACAGTCTCTCCCCCCCGCCCCAACAAGGTTAGAATCAAGGATTGCATTGTGTATTTAGTAGTCTAGTCTCTTGGGTTCTAGAACATCTAGCACATCTTCCCAAGTCTAGAACATCTTCCCAACTTCTTTTTTTGGTGGAATAGTCTTTTGTTAATTGAGGCATAATTTACATACACTAGAATGCACAGGCATTGTGTTCAGTAGGATGTTTTAACAATAGTACACATCTGTGTTACCGCCATCCAGAACAAGATAGAGAACTTATCTATCATCCAAAAAATTTCCCCATACCCTTTTCCAATTAATCCCTCCCCTATAGCTCTGCAGCCACTTTCTGACTTATGTTACCGTAAATATGCCAATCCCTATATAAGTAGATAAGGATATTAAAGAGGTTTTTTTTTTTTACCCTTTACCCAGTTCCCTAGTGGTCACCTCTCATGCAACTACAGGACAATCTCAAAACTAGGAAACCGACATTGGTATGTATATAGTCACGGTTGCAATCAAGATACAGAACTATTTCATCACTGCAAAGATCACCCTTATGACATTCCTTTATTATCACATCACTCCCCTCCCCATCAACATCCCTAACCCCTAGCAACCTCTATTCTCCATCCGTATACTTTTTTTTTTTTAATTTTGAGAGTGGAATCATATCATATGAGCACTTCTTCAGTATAAGGATTGTATATATTGAAACTGGGACAGTGCATTGTTGTAATTTGTGTGGTGCTCCCTCTCAGGAGGAGCAGGAATGCTGGTATTCCCACCAGCAGGCAGGAAAATGGTCAGGTAGGTAGTTATCGTATGGGACCTGTGTCCATCTCTGACAGCCTCGACCAGCAGGCCTCAGCCACCTCAGCCACCAGCTGGTGCTCACCATCAATTCTACACATATGTTTTAAATAGTTAATCTATCAAACAGTACAAAAAGAAACACAAGGAGGGCCTCCCTGGTGGCGCAGGGGTTAAAGTCTCAGTGCCATCATGCTATCTGGTGAACACTGAAGCATGAGCTCAACCCCAGGCCACGGAGGTGACCCACATGGCGCAGCAGACCTCTCCTGTCTCACCTGCCGCTCCCCTCAGCAGTGTATTTCAGTCGATCCACCTGTTCTGCCCCCCACTCTGTCTCTGGTGAATCTTTTCACCCTCCCCATTACCCCCACACCTCTGGCCTACACCCCAGTTCTTGTATGTAAAATAAAGCTTAAAAAAAAAAAGGAACACAAGGAAAAGAAAATCTCCTTCCATTGCTCTCACAGAAGCAATCATTTTACCTGTTTCTAGTATTTTAATCTAGGAACTATACCTACCTATCTTTTCAACTGTATTCAGAAAATTTTCACGTAACATTGTATAAGTTTAACATGTAGCATGTGTTGACCTGATAGACCTGTATGCCGGGGACCAGCCTCCGACAAAACGTCTTGTCAGGGGTTCTTGAAAGGATGAGACGGCCTAGGCGAAAACGAAAGAACTGAAAACTTAAGGACTGAGGGGAAGGGAATGAGGAGACACCGACACTTGGTGAGGTGTTAGTATTTTCTGTCGAGAGACTCAGCAGGTTTTTATTTATTTATTATTAGTAATAATAATAAGAGAATACATTATTATGTGTAAAGCATAAACAATTAGTATATTATGTTTTTCATAGACTACTGGCCCCTACAGGTTTTAGCTAGACGGCAGCTTTTAAGGTTAACAGATAATAAACCAAACCTAACATTAAAGCTATTTATTTTTTTATTCAGACAATTATTTAAAACAGTGAATAACCGCCAGTGCATTTCTATTAGCTAAAGCCTAAGCATCAAAGGACTATTTTATTTACATGACCTTCAGCCGGAGACCAGCTGTAGTTTAGTTATTAGAACTTTTTTTACCTAGAAATTTTTTAACTCAAATAGTTTTATATTAAAAACTTTTCCAAGAAACTTTAAGAGAAAACAAAATAGAAGGACCTGTTATGATTATTGTATTGTAATGCTTGTCAGGCATATTTAATAAGTTGTTTTTTATTGTCAAGTAGGCCAAATTGTTTAATAATTAGTTTTTAATTTTTTATGTCGTTTATTTGTAATATACTGATGTATATAATATAGTGTCTAATGTACTTTTTGGGAAATTTTTTTTTATTTATGAGTGGACGTAAATCAGCAGTGGTTAGCTGTAGATGAGTTTTTATTTAATTTATGTCTTCAAGTAGTTTTTGAAAATTATTTAATGTCTGTAAAGAGTTTGTTTGTAGTTGTAGTTTTTGTGGTGTTACAGTTAAAGAACGAACAATTTTTTTTAAATAATTAATTGGCGGAGAAGTTTGAATTTTTTTTGGTGCCACCACAAGTTCATAACTTTGTAGCAAAGCTACCAGACGGGCCAAGGCCTGATTTAACAAGTCCACTTGAGCATTACTTATTAAAATATTATTTATATAATGAATACAGTAAATGGAAGGGTACTCATCCCTAAAGGATGACAAAACCATATTTACAAATTTTTGACATAAAGTAGGACTGTTTTTTATGCCCTGAGGAAGAATTTTTTATTTATATTGTTGAAACGGCCTTTTTAAATTTACTGATGGGACACTAAATGTAAATTTTTTGCAGTCTTGGGGATGTAAAGGGATGGTAAAAAAGCAATTTTGTAAATTAATAATAATAATATGTTTATTTTTAGGAATGGCCACAGGTGATGGCAAACCTGGTTGCAAGCATTTTATATTTTGTATAGTGACATTTATTGTTTTTAAGTTTTGTAATAATTTTTATTTTTTTGATTTTTTTTTATTACAAATATAGGAGTATTTTATGGGCTGGTAGTAGGGCGAATGTGTTTTTTTATTAGTTGTTCTTGAACCAAAGTTGTTACAGTCTGGATTTTATTTTCTGTCAGGGGCCATTGTTTTACCCATACTGGGTTATTATTTTTTTACACAATTGGGTCGGCTGTAACCTCTGTAATGGCCCTCTTTATAAATTTGATTCATATTCCAGGCCTTGTCGTGGCTTTTTCTGAGCAACCTCAATGGGAAATACTTGGCCCTTTAATTTTTTTTTTAAACCTTGATTTGGGTTAAAGCCCATTTGTAACATTTGAGTGGTTACCTTATTATTGGGGCTAAATAGGAGCACTCTTATTTGAGAGAGTATGTCTCTTCCCCACAATGTCATAGGAAGAGATGGGACAACATAAGGTTGAAAGGTCCCGGACACCTCTCCATTATTTTAATTTAAAATTTGAGAACTTTTTGTCACATTTTGTGTTGATCTCAATTTGACCAAAGTAGAAGGCGTAGCCTTTGTGGGCCAGGCATTAGGCCAATTACGCCCTGCTATGCAAGTAACATTAGCACCAGTGTCTAACAATTTTTTAATTGTTTTTTTTTGAATTTTTATAACTTTGGTCGGTCTATTGTCTTTAATTTGTTGGACCCAAAAAGTCATGTTACTGGATTTAAAACTGGAATTACTTTGTGGTTTATTGGATGCAATTTTATTGCCAACTGACACCAGAGGCAGTAAAAGTAATTGAGTAATTTTTTGTCTTGGATGAATTTGTATAGTTTGTATTGGAGGCTCCAGCATAACTTTTATTTTACCAGTAAAATTAGAATCAACAACAACCGGTATTACTTTTATGCCTTGTAGAGACACAGAACCTTGGCCAAAAACAAGCCCCATAGTACCCGGAGGGGGGGGCCCATACACCCCAGTTGTCAACATGGTGTAAGATTGATTAGAAGTTAATATTGCGGCGGAGGTGGAATGTAAGTCCAAGCCCGCTCCGCCTGTGGCCCTGCGGACGAGATTAGAAATTGTTCGCCGCTTTGGTCGTTTAGGTTCTCAATTATTTGAGGGGCCTGGGTCGGGCCCCTTACCCAGTTTTTTGACTGTGAAATGTTTTTTGAAAAAACAGTCGGATTGGTGTCCGCAGTAAACTTTTTATTTGGTGGCAACAATGTACCATTTTTATGATATTTAGACCGACAGTCCTTCATCCAATGAAATTTTTTATTACAACGCGGGCAGATAGTTTTTGGAAGTATTATTTGAGAAGGAATTTTACTATTATTTGTTGCAACAGGCATGTCAGACTGTTGAGGCAAGGCTGGAGGCGGCATAGAGATTACTTTGTTTGGGCAATTTTTACTATAATGGCCTGGCTGTCCGCAAGAAAAACAATTTTTAAAATTTTTGTTTATTTTTCTTTTTTTTTGTTGATTAAGGGAGGCGAACCATTGGCTGTTGGTTTGTTCCTTTAAGGCAGCCGCAATGGCCACACCATGAAGGTACGAGGGTGTCACCTCCGAACAGGTTTGAACATATTTATTAATGTCGCCTGTTCGTACAATGGGTCTTAACAATGCCTGACAAGGTGGTGAAGCATTTTTAAAAGTCAGCTGTTTAGTTATAATGTGAGCCGCCTCAGCATTAGGTATAGTTTTTTGAACAGTATTCATTAATTGTGATAAAAAGTTTTGATAAGATTTCTCAGGCCCTTGTTTAATGTTAGCAAGGCCAGAGGTTTTTATTTCACCAGCCGGCAACCGGCTCCATGCAGCAACTGCAGCTTTACGTACGAGACGAAAGACCGGAGGTGGCATACGAATTTGTACATTGTTTTTACACCAATTATCTTGACCCAAAACCATTTTAAGTAGAATTTTATTATTTTTTATTTTTATTTTTTTATTATTATATTTTTTTACCATTTTTTGTGTTTTTTTCTCAAAATTTGTCTTTCACAACAAATAATTTTCACCAGACAAACTAGATCTAGCCGTCATCTGCCAATTAAGGGGTGTGAGGAAGCGACTGGCCACTGATTTTACGAGTTGCAAGGTATAAGGAGATGTAGCCCCGTAATCGGCAGTTGTTTTTTTTAATTTCTTTAAAAGCTCAAAGGGAAGGGGTTCCCATTGAGGCTGCTCATGGTCATTGTCTACATTGAGCACAGGAAAACATTGAAAGGTAAAATTACCTTTTTTTTTTGTTTGTCTCACTGCACCAGCAAAACCAGCTTTAGACATACCAACCAAATCACTAAACAACATTTGTGGCATTGACCTGGACACAGGCTTTGTGTTTTTAAAGAGGTCTGATTGCATATTTGCAGAACAAGGCTTGAGATCAGTCTTAGTTCTAGCCACATTATTGATATATCTTTTAACAATCTTAGCCAAGTCTGGGCTGGAAATTAAATCAGATTTAGGAATAGATTTATGAAAAGGAGCCGACGCTTCAGTAGAGAGGTCAACTTTGGCTCTAGAATTAATTTTTGACTTTTGAAAAACAATTTCATTATCCGAAGAATTTGAATTACTTTTTTTAATGCAGTTGGCCAATTTTTGTTTTACTTTTGGTTTTGTATTTTTTGTTTTGCCTCCAGCCTGGCTAAAGCAATTTATTTGTTTAGGCAATTGTTTTGTTAATGACGGACTGTTAGCCGAGGACCCTTTAATGTCCTCCAAGGATAAGGAAGCAGTAGGCTCAGGTAGTCGTAATTTTTTGAGTTTTTTATTTATTTTTTTTAATTTAGACCCTTGATTTAGTATGTTTTGCAACAGACCCCACAATGAAAAGGCATCAATGGGGACCTTTTCTGGTCCATGGAGAGTATAATAGGATGTTATTTCCTTTCCTACTTTAGCCCAAGTTTTTGTATCCAGAGTACCGTCCCTAGGAAACCAAGGACAACACATTTTAACAAAATTTAGGAAACTAGCCAATTGTGCATGAGAGGTTTTAAGGCCTCTCTTTGCAAGAGTATACTTAATTATATTAATAAAGAGTCCTTTTTTTTTAGACTCAGTATGGCCCATAGCTTTTTAACGATAAGACACTCACTCGCCTTATCACGCAATAAGACACTCACTCGCCTTATTACGGTTCTGACTTACTGCTTCCCTCAAACCTGCTTTTTCTACAGGCGGGTATGCGCCCTACCCTATGGAGCAGATCCTAGCCATCCCCGCACGGGAAAGAAATCTTACCTTTCAAGTCCCTGTTCGGGCGCCACTTGCCGGGGACCAGCCTCCGACAAAACGTCTTGTCAGGGGTTCTTGAAAGGATGAGACGGCCTAGGCGAAAACGAAAGAACTGAAAACTTAAGGACTGAGGGGAAGGGAATGAGGAGACACCGACACTTGGTGAGGTGTTAGTATTTTCTGCCGAGAGACTCAGCAGGTTTTTATTTATTCATTATTAGTAATAATAATAAGAGAATACATTATTATGTGTAAAGCATAAACAATTAGTATATTATGTTTTTCATAGACTACTGGCCCCTACAGGTCTTAGCTAGACGGCAGCTTTTAAGGTTAACAGATAATAAACCAAACCTAACATTAAAGCTATTTATTTTTTTATTCAGACAATTATTTAAAACAGTGAATAACCGCCGGTGCATTCCTATTAGCTAAAGCCTAAGCATCAAAGGACTATTTTATTTACATGACCTTCAGCCGGAGACCAGCTGTAGTTTAGTTATCAGAACTTTTTTTACCTAGAAATTTCTTAACTCAAATAGTTTTATATTAAAAACTTTTCCAAGAAACTTTAAGAGAAAACAAAATAGAAGGACCTGTTATGATTATTGTATTGTAATGCTTGTCAGGCATATTTAATAAGTTGTCTTTTATTGTCAAGTAGGCCAAATTGTTTAATAATTAGTTTTTAATTTTTTATGCCGTTTATTTGTAATATACTGATGTATATAATATAGTGTCTAATGTACTTTTTGGGAAATTTTTTTTTATTTATGACCAAGAACAGAAAGTGAAGGAATGTTACATTTTTAACCTCACGGTGTGAGGCACAAGGAATCTTCAGCCCCACGGTGTGAGGCCCTTTGGCTTTGGCCCCACGGTGTGAGGCCCTTTGGGCTTCGCTGTTTGCCAGTGTCTTATCTGGCTGGGGCATCAAGGCCTCCTGCAGCACCTGTATATTGTGAAATTATTACCACAATAGCATTAGCTGATAACACCATCACCTCACATAATTACTGTTTCTTTTTTGTGGTGAGAATATTTAAAAATATTTAATTGTCAAGTGCAACAGGTCCTCAAATAACATCATTTCATTCCACGTTTTTTCCTTATAACGCCGAGGATAAAAATCAGTTCTGGCAGGGACCACTGTGTGGAGTTTGCAGGTTCTCCCCAGGTCTGTGTGGGGCTTCTCAGGGTGCTGAAGTTTCCTCCCACATCCCAAAGATGTGCATGTTCGGGTTCATTGACAGGTCTGGATTGTCCCAATCTGTGTAACTGTGTGTAATTTTTATCTTTAATTCCATTAGTGTGATGTATTGTACCACATTATAATGTTGCCCATGTGTTGAAATATCCCAAGAAGTTTCTCTTGTCCACAGGTGACTGTCTAAGACAGTGTTCTCCAGGGGAGACTGGGCTGGGGCTGGGGGACTTGAGTGAATTCACTGGGACTGAGACTTGTCTGCCTGCTACTTCATGCTCTATGGGCAAGACTCCTGCCAGGTGTATAGTATTAGATGCTAAAGGCCCAGCAAAAGCACTTTGTCCTTGGGTGGATGCCAAATTGCACCAAGGAAGATGCAAATGAGAAACATTCTAATGAAGCCATAATGTTCTCTCTTTACTAACAGCAGCACATCATAGATGTAGTTCTGTTTCTTCTGTTGCAGTACATTCCATGTCAGTGCATAGAACTCTATCACATTCTTTTTTGCATCACATTCTTTTTGATAGCTGCATAACATTCCACTGTAGGGGTATGGCATAATTTAATGAACACATTCTTTTTTTGATAGAAATGTAGATTGTCTCCAGAGTTTTTGTAATTATGAATAATGCTGCATTAAATACAGATTTTGTGCCCTGTGTGAGCACTAATGTAGGATAAATTTCCATTAGTAAATGCTAGGTTAAAGGATATATGCATTTAAATTGTAATAGTTATGGGACCTCCCTGGTGGCATAGGGGTTAAAGGGCTATCTATCACCAACCGCTGTAGCCTCACCTGCTGTTCCCCTCAGCAGTGCATTTCAGTAGATCAACCTGTTCTGCTCCCCACTCTGTGTCTGGTGAATCCCCTCCCTGCCCCCCACCTATGGCCTAGACTCCAGTTCTGGTATGAAAAAAATAAAATAAATTAAAAAAAAAATTGTAATAGTTGTGCCAAATTGCTTTCCAAGAAATAACTGTTTTAAAGTTCCACCAACAATGAAGAGAATGTCTTTTCTCTATAATGTGCATTTTTGCCAATCTGATATCTAAAAAGTATCATCTAATCTCAATTTTAATTTGCATTTCTACTATTATGAAGTCTTTGAGTATCTTTTCATTAAAAACCCTTTGCATTACTTTTTATGAACTGTGTGTTTATGTCCTTGCACATTTAATATATTATTTTAAATTATTCTTTACAATAAAAACACCACTTTCTATTGCCATTTGCTCTAGAATCTCCTCAGAGGCAGAAGGTCCCCTTAAGCAGGTGTTCAGGGTCACCCACAACCATACCAATTTCCTCTTTCTAGCTCATCTTGGCCTCCTTCCCCAAAACCACTGTCTGTTTCCAAGAAGGCACTTTCATGGTCTCCTCCCCTCCCAAAACCCTGGATTGCTCTTCCATCTCTCCTCTCTGGGGTGCTCTCTTCCCAGTCAAACCTGATCAAACTGTTAGGGGGAAAAGGATGTCCTAAAGCTAATTCCATACAGGCTTTGTGGACTCCACCCCCACCCCAGGCCAAAGCCAAAGACACTGGGTACTCCAAATCCCATCACCACCAAAGGGAAGGTGGCTGGGACCTGAGGGTGGGGTTAAGCAGCCAGGCTGATATAAAAGGCAGACACGTGGGCTTTGGGGGTCCCCCATTTTGGCTCTCTGCCAGCTCTGAGAGTGACTTTGGGTTTCCAGGTCGTCGGATTGGGTAGGACGCATTAAAGACTTTATTTCCCTATTTTTCTCCCTGAGTTGTACATTTTTCCTTTTCCCTTGTAAATAAACCTTTTATGAACCTTTTGTGTGTGCCTGTAGTGGAGTATTAATAAGTCCCTTGTAAGCGCGCGGGTGAGGACCCACAGCCAGGAACCCGTTCAAAATCAGTACTGCTCTATAACAAAACCTTTGGGGTCCTGGCTGATTTCACCTTTCGAGGCTGCCTTTCTGAGTCACTAGTGCCCAAACTCTACACAGTACAAGCCTGTGCTCCTCCGAGGCTAGCTCTCACATCTAGAGCCCTGCTTCCTCGCTGTGCCAGCTCATGGGTGTCAATGTGGAGCGGCTCCCGCTGCTGGGGACATGGCTGTGTGGGAGACCAAGGCACCTCCTCCCAGCCAGCTGAAGTTTAACTGTGTGGGAGACAAATACACCTTAAACAAAGGAAACATACAAAAAAGAATGTCAATTTCGCGCACACAAGTAATGGAATACTGAAGGGACCGAGGGGTCAGGAGAGGGCTGGCTCCCCAGTAGCAGAGACTTGAATGTGAGAAGGTCCTGCCATGTAAAGCGCCTTCCAGACCCCCCGTTAGGGGGCCGGGGCGTCGGGTGGGTTCTTCTAAAGATGGAGACGGGGTGCTGTCCAGCCCTCAACGCCGGACCTTCTACCAGTTGGCACGAACAGAGGCAAGAAGCCCGTGAACCCCGCAGCGCAAGGGCGTGTGAGGTGTGGGTCCGCCCCGCCCGCAGGGCCTCGCTGCAGCCCGGGGAAAACGCCGCTCGCTCCGGCGTTAACAGCGGGTGCGTCGACGGTGCCAGGGTCTCGCTGGCACCTTACGTCGTCGTTCCTCCCCTTAATCTACACAGCAGCGCCCTAATATTTACTTTCCCCCCACAGCGGAAGAAGCCGCGGCCGGGAACATGGAGTAACCTGTGGCGCGCTCCAGGTCCAGGGCGAAGTGCGGTTCTCGGGGAAACAAGTTGTGTCGGGGGGCTCGGGCGGTGTTTACTGGCGCATCTGGGGCGCGCCCCGTTTCCAAAGTTTGTCCGGGGCGCCCCCCAGAGGCCCTCTGCTCCGCCAGGGCCCGGGGTTTCGGGGTCAAAGGGGCGCGCGGGGCGCTGGGGGCGGGGAAGGCGCGGGGACAAAGGCCGCGTCCGAGGCGTCCGGGGCGTCTGAGGCGCAGGCGGATCCGGCGGCCGCGCGGGTGGGGGCGCCCGGGACCCGGCCACGACCCCGCCCCGGGGGAGCCCGCGCGCCACGGAGCTCCCCGGGGCGCCCGCAGAGCCCGCGCCGGCCGAGCCCCGGGTCCCGCCGCCCGCGCCGCCCCCTCCCGCCCCCTCCCCCCGCCCGGCGCGGCGCGCAGCGAACATGGCGGCGGCGGCGGGCGCGCGGGACACTCTACCTGAGCCCTGGTCCTACGGCGTGTGCCGCGACGGCCGCGTCTTCTTCATCAAGTGCGGCGCGGGAGTGCGGGGCGCGGGCGGGCGCGGGCGGGCGGGGCGCGGGGCCGCGCGGGCCCCCCGCGGGCTCCCGCGGCGCTAACAGGTGCACCTCTCTCCCCGCAGTGACCGGCTCCGCTGCACCACCTGGCTGCACCCGCGCACCGGGGAGCCCGTCAACTCGGGCCACATGATCCGCTCAGGTGGGCGCCGGACCCGCGTGGGGGGGGCGCGCTCGGGGGGCGCTCGGGGGCGCTCGGGGCGGGGGGCGCACGCCGCGGCGGCCCAAGTTTGACCCCACTTTTCTCGCCTTCCCGCAGACCTGCCCCGCGGCTGGGAGGAGGGCTTCACGGAGGAGGGCGCCAGCTACTTCATCGAGTGAGTGATCGCGGCAACTTGCAGGCGCTGCCGCCACGAGGTCGAACCCGGTTCCCGCCGCGCCCCCAGCCCCTCTCCGCTCGGGTCCCCCGCGATTTGGCGCGCACAGCGCCGCGGCCGCACTTGGGTGCAGTTTTGTGTTCGGGATTTGTGTGGCGGGGTCCAGGAGGAACTGGGGGGGGGGGTCAGCATCTCCCCTGGGGGACCACGGCAAGGGTCCCGGATCGCGCCCGCGGCGGGGACTGGGGCCGCCAACTCTGCGCCCTGGACCTGGCAGTTGGGCAGGATTCAAGCGGGCGTGAGGGGGACACGCCTCCCTCCAGGCCCGGGGCTGGGCTGAGCCGAGCGGGTGCTCGGACCGGGGTGGGCGGGGGTGGGGAGCGTAGACGTGAGTTTCGTCTGGGGTGGGGGACCTGGGGCAGGAGGTGGGGTTTGGCGGGGAGGAGATAAAGAGACGAAGGGAATGTCGCCTGGGAGGCCTTTCTCTTGGGCAGGGTTCTCCAGGATGGTGGTGAAGACTTGGAACCCCCCAACCCCTTCCCGCCCCATCCGTGGCTCGGGTCTAATGGGGGAGTCGTGGGGGTGGGGAAGGGAACTCATCAGCCAATAATATTCCTCGAACACGCCGCGTCTCTCTGGCGGGTGCTGGCACAATCCCTCCTGCCTCCTCAAGGCAAGCCGGAGATTTTCCCAAAACCCGGGAGCGTCACCCCATTATCGAGGTTATCCCAACGTGGGTCTGTAGAAATCAAAGAGAGGAGCAGTAAATTGAGGCGCTGTTCATTCTCTCCCACTCCGGACGGGTACCCGTGTTGCAGCCTGTCTGCCTGTGAGTTAGTTTCATGAGGTCAAAATCAAAAACTGCTTTTGATCCTTTGCCCCAGTCCGGAGTAGGCACTTGGTAAATGTTCACTGAATAAACTAGCCAAGGACGTGATCTGGACGGTGATCCGAGGACTATTAGGTGTGAGCTAGAATTCCTTTCTACTTCAGCTTGAAACTCTGCTAGTCTTTCCTGGAGCAGCATCTAACCTCTGATGATCCCCCAAAATCCTGAAGCTCCCCCCCGCCCCCGGACTCTTAGGATGCTTGTACTCCTTATGGAGGTGATTTATAAAAGTGAGCTGATTTATAGAAGTGAGCGTTAGGACTGTGGCTGTGGTCCTGCTGTGCTCCCTCCAGTGTGAGAAGTTGGGGAGCTGGCAGGGACTAGCAGCACTCTCTGTCAGTGGGTCTTTCTGGCTCATAACTGCATTCATCCATTTTTTTTTTAGACTTCTCCCGGGTGTCTGCATTGTTCTAGGTAGTGGGGCTACAGAAGTGAGCCAAATGAGCAAGCAAGGACCTGCTCGAAGAACTTGCCATCTAGTGGGGGAGGAGAAGAAGCAGAAAATAAGTAAATAAACAGTATTAGATTGTGGTAACCAGTACACAGACAATGAAAATAAGGTGATATGATGTCAAGTGACTGGGTAGTTTGGTTGAACTGGGACAGCAGTGGTGGTGTATCTGAATGGATGACATTTAAGGTAAAATTTGTTTTTTTTAAAAAAGATTTATTTATGCATACAAGCACTGGGGTACAGGCCAGAGGTGTGGGGGGTGAGAGGATTCACCAGAGACAGAGTGGGGAGCAGAATAGGCAGTTGACTGAAATGCACTGCTGAGGGGAGCAGCAGGAGTGTCAGGAGAGGTCTGCTGCGCCGTGTGGGTATCTCCCTGGCTGGGGCTTGAACTTTGTGTTGCATGGGCTGTGGATAGCCTCATAGGTTGCATCTTAACCCCTTGCACCTCCATGGAGGCCCTAAGGTAAAATTTGAACTACACGAAATAGTCATCCTTATGCTGACAATGAAAACGGTGGCAAAGCACTTCAGGAGGAGAAAACAGGACCGTAAGGCTTGAAAGAGGTTCAAGTTCAAGGAACAGTGTGGCTGGAAGGTGAACAGAGAAAGTGGCATGGGAAGAGGCAATAGATGAGAGAAAGTTAAGTGACAGAAGTCTTTATGAGCCAGGGTAAGGAGTTTTTTAATTTTATGTGAAGTCCAGTGAGAAGTTACTGGAGGGTTTGAAATAGGAGAGCGGTGTGATTTGATTTGTATTTGTAGAAAGACTCTGCCTGCTGTCGTGTGTGCTGTAGGTGGGCACCTGTATGGGGCAGAGCAGTTGAGACTTGCTGCAGTCCACGCAAGAGTTAATGATTGGCTTGACGGCACGTGGTAGCCCTGGAGATGGAGAAAATTGCCAGATTTAGGCTTGATGACTGGGATGTAGACTGAGAGAAAGACAAGAGTCAGATGACTTTGGGTCTCAAGCATCTGAGTGGATGGTGTTCAGATCTTTGGGAATATGCAAAGACTGGGGGAGGAACAGGTTGGCAGTAGGGGGAAAGCATGAGATCTTATTTTGCCAGATTATACTTGAGATATGTATATATCAGCTAGTCAGATGTCTGACTCTGAAGCTCAGACAGCAGCCTCAGGAGAGATCTTTGGGCTTGGAGGTGTTGTCTGCAGGATTAGATGAAATCATGGAGGACGAGGGTGTTGACAGAAGAGAGAAGATGACCTAAACCTTAGGACCTAGCGGCATCCGAGGTTGGGAAAGGAAGCAGATCCAGCAGAGGAAACTGAGACAGGACTGAGAAGGTAGCAGAAGACCCAGGAGAATGAGTCATCACAGAAACCTGAAGGATGAAACCTGCCAGCAGTAGGGCGAAGAGAAAATAGGGGATGAGGAAATGGAGGCAGCGAGTGTAGGTAAACCTTTCAGGCACCTTTGTTATAAGGTGGAGGTGAGAAGTTGGCTGAGAACTGGAGAAGATGTGAGATTGAGGGAGGGGTTTTCTTTTTTTGCTGGGAGTTTGCAGAGCATGTTTTGTTCTGTTGGGAATGGCCCAGGAGAGAGGGAGAAATAGATGGTGCAGGAAAGAGGTGGTCTAGTTGCTGGAGCAATGCTTCTGAGGTGAGGGGTCACCTGAGTAGACCCTGAGTCCCCTGGTCTCAGGGGGGAGCAGGTGCACCATCCACGGGAGAGGAGGAAGGACTTGAGGTGCTGGACCCCGGCAAGCAGGTTGACAGGTTTGCTGAGGGGAGAGGTGGGTTTTCCTACGTGCTGGTTTCTTATTTTTCCATGAAGTGCTGGGTAAAGTCTTTTTTTTTTTCCCCCTAATTTTTGTTTGTTTATTTCTTTATAGAGTCTGGAGCTGGGGGATTTGAGGAGTGTGTAGGTTACACCCATCTGTCCTTCATCTCTTTTGCTCTTCTATGGTAACTCTGTTTGTGAAATCCCTAGTGATTAGCCTACTGCAGCCCTGGCTCTCTGCCCCCCAGGGCTTTGGCTGAGTCCTCCCAGGCCTAGGGGAAAGTAGTCTCTCCTACAGTTAAAGGCAAGCCATGTCGGGGAAATGACCTTGGTCGCTGATCTTATTCCTTACCTCCTTCTGTGACAATTTTTTAAAAAGATTTTATTTATGCATATAAGAACTGGGGTACAGGCCAGAGGTGTGTGTGTGGGGGGGTGAGAGGATTCACCAGAGACAGAGTGGGAAACAGAATAGGCAGAATGAAATACATTGCTGAGGGGAGCAGAGGGCAAGACGGGAGAGGTCTGCTGTGCCATGTGGGTAGCTCCCTGGCCAGCTGCAGAGCCTTCAGATAGCTTCACAGTATAGTGCTTCACAGTGCTGTGCTTAACCCCTTGTGTCACCAGGGAGGCCCTGTGACAATTTCTTTTATTTTTTTTAAAGATTTATTTATTTATTTATACAAGCACTGGGTACAGTCAGAAGTGCAGGAAGGTGAGAGAATTCACCAGAGCCAGAGTGGGGAACAGAACAGGCAGACCGACGAAATACACTGCTGAGGGGAGCAGCGGGCGGCAGGAGGGGGTCTGTCGTGCCATGTGGGACCCTCACCCACGGCCAGGGATCAAATCGGCGCTGCAGAGGCTGCAGGCAGCTTCGCAGCCCAGCGCTCAACCACTGTGCCACCAGGGGAGGTCCCCTGTGATAATTTCTTGAGAGGTTTTTGGAGTTCTTTAGGGGCTCTTAGGGATTTAGGTGTAAATATTCTTTTACCCACATTAAAAAAAAAAATGTTTTGCTTTGGTTTGCTTTCTTTTTCTTAGATTTGCTATAAACATTTCTGAATATTTGATTTTTTTTGATGGAGAAATCTCTTCTAATATGGCTAAGTTAGAAGACAAAGTATCGCCACAGATGATTTTATTTTCTCCAGTGGATCCTTAGACTGGAAAGTTGTGTGAGGTTTCAGTTGCTCCTAATAATTGGCAAATGTTTGAATACTCTCCAAAGTCCATTTCGTGAAGCAGAATACCTTAAACTAATGCAGGTGAATTTTGGCTTTGATTTCTGCACTTTTGTTTCAGTGTTGGATTAATTGGAGACAAAACATATACAGAATCTACTTCTGGCTCTCCCAATCCTAGATTAGATGATGCTTATATCCCCTTTCAGAAGACTTTTTGTACTCTAAGACCTTATTTTGCCATGAATCCCTTAGCCAGGGAGCAAGATATAATAGGAATTGTGATAATAGTGTCATTAACAACCACAGCAATAATAGTGATAACAATTACTTAATAGCATCATCTTCTCAAGTCCTTGGAAAATATTAGGGACTGTCATATAACTCTTATTTGATTTAATCAAACAACTTTGATGAAATGAGAACTGTTACTAGTCCCATTTTAGAGACATGGAAACTCATAATAATTCTGGATATTCTAACAGCAAAGGGCAGTTGGCTTTTCCCAGTACCTTTTCTTGCTTGTTCCTTATAATCGCCCCCTGAGGCAACAGAACAGTGGATATCTCTGTTCTTCGGGTTATAAAACTCAGGTCCAGCCTGTGAGTTTAAATGATTTGGCAGAAGGGTCAGAGTTGGGACTAAGATGTAGGACTTCCATCTCCGATATGGTAACTGTGGTGGTAGTGGTGGTTCCTAGCCTGGTCACAGGTGACAGTCTGCATCGGTACT